AAAGTTTTAAGGATACTTACTGTGCACTGCAACGCGAAAAACGCGGGAGACACAAAAACGCACACGTGTTTCTCATACGTTATAAAATTGATTTCACCAGTGTAATTCCCAATATTACAGTGTAAAGAGGCTCCATCTAAAGCCAAAAATATAAAACCTTGAGTGAAATGGTCGGCGCTACCTGTGCCGCGCGACGCTCGCTACCTGCTTTGACGCGGTCGGCTCGGAGGCTCATAACTTTTGAACCGTTACGAATTTCGATTTGCCCTTTTTAACATGATATTCTAGACAGTTATAGCTATCGAATTCCGCAAAAAAAAATTTTGACCAAATTTGATCCAACTGACGAGAATGTACCCTTAAAAGCATGTTAATCGGAAAACCTCTCAGGTTTGAGCCGTCTCAAAATCTACTTCTATCTCCTTACAGGTCGAGGCGACATCCGATGGCTCAGAAAATTACACTTCTGGCAGGGATTGTGTCAGGAGATCGTATTTAAAAAGAAACATTCCGATAGATACAATCGAAATTCTTCTCGCATCAATATCAGATAATACTTGGAAGCAGTATAACTCGGGATTAAAAAAATGGTGGTCTTTCTGTGCAATCCATAAAGAGAATCCATACCAAATTTCAGCAAATAAGCTCTTAAGATTTTTAACTAAAATGTTTAGTGAGGGAGCGTCCTACGGGTCCTTAAATTCTTTTCGGTCAGCAATATCATTAGTTTCACATAATAATATTGGTGAAGATCCGATGGTGTGTAGATTTTTTAGGGGTATGGCAAATTTAAAACCTATAGGATCAAGATATGCAGCCACATGGGATCCAAATATTGTTTTGGATAAAGTAAAAACATGATATCCAGTAGAGAGTTTAAATCTGCGAGAACTAACAGAAAAAACTATAATTCTGTTAGCGTTAGGTACAGCCCACAGAGCTCAAAACGTTTGCCTCAATTGATTTAGAAAATATCAATCAGACAAAGAACGGATTGGAAATTCGAATACTCGATCGACTGAAAACATCAAGGCCAGACAGAGCACAATCATTATTAATTGTATCCTTTTTCGATCAAAAAAGAGAATTATGTATAGCCCGGACACTGTTAGAATATATTAAAAGGACAGGTCCCTTAAGAGGGGATGAAAAAAGATTGTTCGTTGCGGTTAATAAACCACATCGGTCAGTATCTACACAAACAATCAGCCGTTGGATAAAGTCAGTGTTAGGAAAATGCGGTATCGATATATCTCTTTTTTCATCTTATTCAACCAGACATGCATCAACGTCTGCAGCTTACCGCTAGTGGGGTAGACATTGAAACAATAAGAAAAACCGCAGGATGGTCGACAGGGTCGTCCGTTTTTGCAAGATTTTATAATCGACCAATTACATCAACAAACAGCAAATTTGCAAGAGCAGTAATTTCGTAATAAGAAAAGGGTAGCGTATAAATCTAAGTATGACATTGCTTGTATGACGAATTATATCAAAATAAAAATTATAATTAAAAATTAAGAAGTAAAACAATAATCATATCCAGGTAGTAGCAAATTTGGACAATAAAATTGCTAAATAGAATAGAAAATATAAGGCCGGAAAAATTACCTGCACTCTAAATAACTACATAGTTGTAATCTCGAGAACGAGGCTTCGAAGTGTAATTGAAAATCAAACGAACTTACCTGTAAGTGAAGTTCGATTGAAATTATATGAGAAGCCTCGTTCGAGAAGATTACAATCCAGCCCTATATATATAAAAAAAAACTAACCACAAAGAACAAGCAGGTAATTTTGCAGCGTAACTCTAAAATATGAATAAGCAAGATGGCCTTCGCGGGGGGCGGGAACTTTTTAGGTTAGACTCTGAACGTTGTGACATTGAGCGGCACGGAGTGGTACTACATAGTTGTAATCTTCTCGAACGAGGCTTCTCATATAATTTCAATCGAACTTCACTTATAGGTAACTTCACTTACAGTTTTTAAATATACTTTTATGTTGTTATAAATTTTCCCATTTTCGAAAACTTTAATTTTCTAAGCTGTGTTACTTTTAAAGTAAAAAAACGGCACGTAGAACATCTAGAAGATGTTAGACTTAATAGTAATATTTGATGGTTTATAATGTTGCGTTCTACGTGCCGTTTTTTTACTTTAAAAGTAACACAGCTTAAAAAATTAAATTAATACATTAATTAATACATTAGAAAAAAAATGAAATTTTTTACCAATCTCTTAAGGGCGATAGAATAGGCAAATACTTTTGAGTGATAATATAGTGTAATAAAGATTATCTCGCGTCTTTTCTACGGCAGTTACTTGAGGTGAAGACGACATTGTGTGTGTGTACGCCGGTGTACATCAAGTGTGCTAGCGGATTACGCGCTCTACCGAGTTTATCATATGAAGGCGTCAGCCAGTGCTGAATTTGGTTACACGACGTCAAGCTGATTAGAGCATAATGTAATCAACCCCCCTCAATGAAGCATCATAATTCCCGATATAGGAACAGCCGAAATCAAGCCAGTATTGCCCATGAGCCAGCTGATAACGCTTCATAATACCAGTAATTATCGCCAAGCTAGGTGTCATCGATCATATACTCTACCTTACAACGATGAAAGCCGAACGTACCATCTGTAAATTGTCTCATATGAAAATCATAGCGATACAAGACGAATCAGCTTCGCTATATACACACGCGCATCAATCATAACTCATGTAAGCAGTAAAAACCTAGTCAACCAGTCAAACTGGCTGACATATTAACTACATTTAAACCTGTTAATTTCATCCAATCACGTCTTCTCCTCGGAACTTCAGTTTCCTCGGAGTAAATAATTTTATTAAAAAAGAATGAGGTCATTTGAATATCTTAATAAAATGAAAATAATAATCGAGATTGTATAAAAAAAGTCTGATAATAGCTATTAAATGTTGAGCAAAATAATTTCAATTAAATGTTTGGTTAATAAAATAAAAAATAATTTTACTCTTTTAAATATTTATTAATTATTATCAAACGATTGATTATATTATTGTTTTATTAAATTATATTGTTATTAGGTATTTATATATAGAAAAGTAAAATTATTTTTAATTATATTAACTGAATATTCGATTAAAATTATTTCATTTAACATTTGGTAGCAAAATTACTAAACTCTTTTTTTCAATGTATATATTGCAAGATATAAAAAATATTTTTAGAGAGAGTTAAATCTCTAACAAAATTATATAAAAATTTTTAATGCTGGATAAATGTATAATTTACGTTAGATCTATTTAGCTGAAGAAAGTTTAATCTCCGGCGTGTGGCCTTTTAAATTAATCACGTTATTTTTTCATTTGTAAACTCGTAATCTGTTCCGCGCGCGCGGTACTAAAATATGTAGAATATTACAGTCAGGCCATATATTTCCACAATGTGTTCCGTGCACGGAAAGGTCCGAAAATCACCCTCGTACACAGACATAAATCGTCAAAATGTTCGCGCACTTATCTCCGTATCCTCCTTCATGTATATAAGTCAAAAATCGTCGGTTACAGCCGACGCGCATTGTCGTCAATCGCAGGAAACAAATATTTTTCCACTGGCTCCGAGAGGAGGGAATTTCTTCTCGAAAACACGCGCGGCGTTTGACATTACGCTCGAGTGTGGGGACAATCCCTTTTTGCCGAACGATTGCAAATATCGACGGATTTGCGGAATCGTTGGTCAAATTGAATTGCAAAGAACCTGTCGTTCGTGTCAGCCTTTCCGCCGAAAGCATGACGATGGCACGCGTGTTTACGCATACGCACGCACCGCGATCGCGATCGACGAGTTTACTTGTCGTCGATCTCCGTCTACGACAACAGAAATCGATCTTCAAAGAGCCTCCGCTCTTTCTTACACGTATACCTTTCTCCACCCTCTCGCCGTTCTCCATTACCGAACCGACGCCATTTAAAATTCAATCAGTCTGTATGTCTTTCCTATGAATAATATTGGCAGTGTATCAAAGTCGTGCTGATGGTACGCTCGCGATTCGAATAATCGGACGAGAACGTTGTGGTATCGAAAACTGTTAATACTACTGCTAGACCGCCGATATGAAATTGATTTATAAAGACAGTCGTATCCAACATGATATCGATTTAATCCTTTAACAACACGATATT